CTTGGCAACTTTAACACTTGTGGACTTCAACTCCCAGAGTTCCTCAGTCAGCTTTGCTCTCTCTCGTTGCTGGCTGAGAAACTCTGGGAGTTGAAGTCCACAAGCCTTAAAGTTGCCAAGGTTGGAGACCCCTGCTCTAAATGATTCATGGTGTGCAATGAGATTTTATAGAAGTTTCTCGTATGCTTGAAGCAAATGGGCATATCTGCAATTGTAAAAAACTTATTTTTATTATTTATTATTCTTTGCTCCTTTTATAGTAAATATTCATGTTTGCTGTGGCAATGTTTACAACTACTCCCCCAAACAGTATTATAATTTAGCAAGGGAAAGCTTAAAATATCTCCCAACACTTTGATCTCTCATAGCCTGCTAAGCCACAATGAAACAGTTATATTGCATCTTGCAACATCATTTTGGGTGCATTGTATGTATTATTTGATTTTCCCACATAAATCCTAATGATTTTGGTGAACTGGAAGCAAAGAGGCTCATTACCATTCTTCTGATATAAGTTGTTGTCATGGATTTATTTTGCAGACCAATATAGAGCCGGAATTAAAGATGATATTTACTCAAGCCGGTATAACACAAGATCACCTGAAGGACAAGAGAACATCAAAAAAGATTTTTGAAATTATTGAGAATCAAGGAGGAATCCAAACTGTTTTAAAAGAGACAAAAGGTATTCTTGGACAATGATGTATAGCAGTCAGCTGTACATGTAATGTTGTACATACATGTAATGTTACTACACAAATATTGTAGCTTCCAGTTCATGTTTATAACTTAATGAGTAACATCCTTTAAGTTTGTCCAATGGTTACATAACAATTTAAGACCTGTAATTATAAATGTAAGATCCTGAATATAAAATATATGTTGAATAATTCCATTTAGTAACACTGTATTCCTCTACCAGGAAACAGTCAGAACTGCTATTTATGTCAAAATGTTGGTTTATAGCAATGGCTCCCAAACTTTTTCAATCCACTGCCCACTTGGTGCTACAAAGTCATTCTCAGTGCCCCCCGCCCAGGGGTGGGATTCAAATTTCTTAACAACTGGTTCTGTGGGCGTGACCTAATTTGTGGGCGTGGCCTGGTGGTCATGTGACTAGGTGGCGTGGCTCACTGGGTGGGTGTGGCTTGGTCATCACATGATCGGATGGGCGTGGCTTGCTGGTCACATGACCAGATGGGCATGGTTTGGTGGTCATGTGACTGGGTGGGCGTGGCCAGGTGACCATGTGACTAGCAAACCAAATATAAGTGGTCCTCGCTTAATGGCCAGTTGCTTAGTAAGTGTTCTAATTTATGACGGACCTGCCCAGAACCACTTGACCTGTTTTTGGAGTTTTGACAGCCATGCGCGTGCGCACACACACACACACACACTTCTAACCCTGCTGGAGCAGGTGGTTGGACTAGATATCTCATATACTTTCTCCTCCCTCCCTTTTTTTCTTTCTTTTTTCTTTCTTTCTTTTTCTTTCTTTCTGTCCCTTCCATCCCTCCTCCCTCTTTGTCTATCGTTTTTCTTCCTTTCTCTCTCCTTTTCTTCCCTTTTTCTTGTCTCTTCCTTCTCTCTCTCTTTCTCTCTCCCTCCCTCCACATCCCATTCACTTTCTCTTCCCTCCCCCTTTCTTTCTTTTTTCTCTCATTCCCTCTTTCTCTTTTTTCTCTTTCACTCTCTCTTTCTTTCTGTCCCTTCCATCCCCCCTTTCTTTGTCTATCCCTTTTTTCCTTTCTCTTCCTTTCTCTCTCCCCTTTTCTTTCTTTTCTTTCTTGTATGTTCCTTCTCTCTTTCCCTCTCTTACACTCTCTCTTTCTCTCTTTCCCTCTTTCTTTTCTCTCTCTCTCTTTCTCTCTCTCTATCCCTTCCTTAACCTATCTACCTATTTTCTGCCCAGGCAGGCATGGCCTAATCTGTCAAAGGCCTGGGATAATCCTGCATCACCCCATTTCCCCTTCCATAGGCCCTGACCCTTAATCTCCCTGTTTCCTCCCCCATGACCACCTCTTTCATTGTCCCATGGCCGTGACTCTACCTTCTTCCCATGGCTGGCTGCCAGGGAAGGCAAGCCAGGGCTGAGCCATTGTTGTCGCTGGGCTCCCCAGCAGCCCACGTCACCCTTGTCATGAATGCCTGCAGCTGCCCATGGTTTTTTTTTGGTGTGGCTGGACTGCAGCCACTCCAAAAAAAACATGCGACAGCTGGAGATTTTTTGCAGCGAAAATTACTGACCTCCAGCTTTGCTCTGCTTCTCCAACGTGCTGCTGCGGCCGCATTCTAGACGCTGGCCCTGCAGGTCCACCCCATTGAGCCCACTGCACTGGAGGGACTTGCCCAAGCAAGTCCGAGCAGAGTAGTGCAGCAGTCAATGGAGTGAGCCTGCACAGCCGGTGCCTAGAATGCTGTGCAGGGGTGTGTTGGAGAAGCAGAGCAAAGCCAGAGGTCAGTAATTTTTGCAGCAAAAAGCCTCCAGATGCCACAAAAAACCACACGGCGTCTGAAGGCTTTTTGCAGTGAAAATTACAACCTCTGGCTTTGCTTGTTCCGCTTCTCCAACATGCCGCTATGGCCATCAACGATTGTTGTGCGTACGCGCAATGTCATGCATGCGCAATAAGGACTGACTGGGCAGGGAATGGCGGAGTGGACAGAGAGGAGCAGAGCCAGCCAGGGGGCCATTTTACTGGTTCTCCAAACTACCGGGAATGGTACCGAACTGGTAGAATCCCACCCCTGAATTGTGCACTACGAGGAACTTTGGGAACTACTAGTTTATAGGTTGTCCTTGACTTACAACAGTTTGTTTAGTGATCATTCAAAGTTACAACAGCACTAAGTTACTTACAACTGGTTTTCTCAGTTGCCACCTTTGCAGCATCCCCCATGATCATGTAATCAAAATTAATATGCTTGGCAACTGGTTCGATACTTATGATTGTTGCAACGTTCCAGAGTCATGTGACCACTTTTTGTGACCTTTTGACAAGCAAAGTCAATGGGGAAGCCAGATTCATTTAACAATTGTGTTCCTTAACTGCAGTGATTCACTTGACAGTGAAAGGCAATGTGGCAACGAAAGGTGGTAAAATGGGTCAAAATTCAGTTTACAGATGTCTCAATGACAGAAATTTGCGGCTCCATTGCAGTCGTACATCAAGGGCCACCTGTATTTAACTTGGGGTTTGTATATCTAATGTATTGAAAATGTGGACTGAAGTGGATTGGGTTAAGTTGACTAGCTAACAAATCAAATAGAAATCAAACCATTAAATAAGTCAGCTGGGTAGCTGCATTTCATTCTCAGTCACGGAAAGGATTACATTGCCAAACACCACAAATGAACGATATATGCAGTAATACCCTAGCCCTGCTTTCCTCCATTTCAGAATCACATGGATTAGACCGTAACAAAGACCTTCCTTCTGTAGTCGTAGCTCAATTACCCTGCATGTCTCCTTCCAAAAAGACATCCCACCATAATTTGATCCAAAGCTTGAAGGAGGAGCATCTGAAAAGGGCACAGAGTGACTATCACCTAACTCCGGTCAGTCAAGAAGATTTAATTTGTCAGCTCAAAAAAGGAACACCATTAAAACCGGCAAGTATTTTCTTTTTTATTATTATTTTAGGATTAGTCCCAAAAGTAATTTTGTAATTAAATTTGACAGGAACTTTAGATTTTGAAAGTCCTGCAAGAATCTTTCAGGTAGTTGAGGATAATGGAACTGAGTAACTGAATGTTACAGGCTAGAAAATACTGTATAAGCAAAAAAAATATGCAGTAAAGAGTTTTAGTGGCCTTAAATGTTATATATTGAGAATAAGATGGGTTGTACATCTCAACAACAAGCAGAAAAGTATTGAAAAGATGAACAACAAAATGGGTATTTAATACTCTTTCTCCCCCCTATAAGTAATGGATGGTTTAGCCAGCTGTATTAATAATTAGTTCCATTATAGGCTTGAACACCTAAAAATGTTTCAGTATTTATTGTTTTGTTTCTGAGAAACAGGTGGCTCAAAATCAACTTTCCAAAGATGAAGGAATAGTAGCTGCACTTGAGGATATAATTCAGAAGAGGCACATAGCAATACCTGCTTCAGGTAGATAAACATTTAATTTGCTCTACCCCACCCCCAGCAAGAAGTAATGAAAGCCACCGTGTATGCTATTTCTTTTAAAGAAGCCCAGACATGTTAACTGGAGGATAGTCAGTTGATCCCTAAGAAACAGTCCAATATTGAAATACTGACTGTATGTTTCCTTTTAATACTGGGACCAGACAATGAGAAATGTGTGTGGCCTATAATGATTAATTGGATTTGTTCATTTATTATTGATACAAACTTGGAAAACCTCCTACATTTGACAAACTCACTCTTTTGGATTTTTTAGAGTAAGTAGCTAGGGCAGAAGGCCCAGATTAACTTCCTGGATCTTTAAGGGCTAAAAAAAACCAACCTCCATTAGCACCATTGCATGGCAGTGGCTGAAATTATGCATTATGCCAAGTTAGTATTTGCTTTAATTGCAAAGCATTTAATAACATTGGACGGGTGGATACTATACTAAGCCATAAACATGATTGAGGAGTTGTTGAATTCTCTTCCCATAGCAAACTTCAGTGTGAACTAACAAATCGTGATATAGGGCTCTTTTGTAAGGCAGCATAAATGTTGTTTTCTAAATTTGTTTGCTTTTCTCAAAATACTTCACCTTAATTAAATGACTTTGTAAGACTTACTTACTTCCGTTAGACCTAGTTGGTTGCAGATTGTCTGAATCCTTCATTGTATATCCAGAATTGGATTCTGTTTGTGTCCTGATTCTAATTACATTGTGTTTTAAATTGTTTAACAGTATATCATTTTTTTTTTGCATGGCTCTAGTTTTATTCATTTGGTTTGCAAAAACAATTCATGCAATTTCCACTTCTGTTAGTTTAGACCAGGGCTATCAAAGTCTTGGCCAATGGGCCAGATGCATCACACACTGGCCATGCCTATGCCCGATTTAGCAAAGGGGGGGAAAATGTCTCTATACATCATGTGACACCTCCATGTTGATGTGAGTTTGACACCCCTAGTTTAGATAATGAATACTCATCTAGCATGAGTATTCCTGTGTAAATTTTATTAATAAGAGAAAAATAGAAACATTCCATTAAAATTGCTAAAGATTTTCTATTTCTACGCATTTAATAGTGATGATATTTAATCTACAGTATTTTGGGGCAATTCACCTATATTTCTTTAGCATGAACAAGTTTATCAAGATTGAGAGAAAAAAATATCTCCAACTCCAAGAACCAAAACATTCCCTTCTATAATTTCAATAAATGATTGAAATTATAAAAGGTGAACAGTTTACTGAATATACACTGAATGAACTGTTGTTATGGTTTTAAACTGAACAAGGGAAAATAAGTTAATTTCCCTACTTTATCTTGATCTGTTTTTCCCAATTTCATAAACTCTTTATAGTCTTCTGGTGAAAAGAAGAAAAGTAGAATATACACCCACACCCACAAACACACATTTTTCTTTCCAATAGAAGTTTAAACATTGACCTTGATATTTACATATTTATATTATTTTACAACATACACCTCTTTAAGACCTGCTTTCTCCTTTTCTAAAAAAAATTCAGAAAAAAACTTTATTTTTAAATGCGAATATTTCCTGAGGATATTTTAATTTGATCTATGATGTCAGTTACAATTCAATTTATTCAAAGACCATTTGCTAATCAAATGTTTGATCTTCTGTTTGTTCTGAATAATTTTGGATCTGTTCTGTTAGATTGTGGGAAAGAGACTAGAGACCAGTGTGACTTTTCAGCTCTTTATTTCTTGTTAAGTTCTGTGCTCAACCTTGGAGCCGCGACAACCCTTCTTATAGGGATTGCTCGCCGCTTGCAGCCAATGATAGCTCTTTGAAACTACCGCGATCGGCCGGGCCAATCACAGTTGATTCTTAGTGAGCCAATCCGAACAGGTTATTTGAACCAATCACTGTGCAGAGTCTCTGGACCGATCAGAAAAGGATATTTCGAGTATGTTAATATGAAATATGTTCTATTACAAAGACTCGAGCACTGCCTTAGTGTTCTCTGTTGAATGTACAAAGTCTCCATCATCATTCATAAAGACCTCCAGACAAAATGAAGCAGGCAACCTATATTTATTTTTTCTTTCTTGGAAACAAATTGTTGAAAATATCATATGTCTCTGTGTTCAGAATATATCTGGAGGGTCATCTGCTAATGCCTCTATTATTGTATCCCCAAGGTTTACAGGAAGCCATTTATTATTTTTGTTGAATTAACTGTACTGTATTATTTTTAAATTTCAAATTAAGTTTATGTTGTAAAATATGCAATTAGATAGATTGTAGTTTGTGATATAATGTAGAAAGACCATAATCTCTTAACTCTTGCTGGTCTTCTATCATTTTTGTCAAATCAGCTTTATTGCATCTCTTACTATGTTTTAAAAACAAGAAACAGATTTATTCTCAAATGCTTTTTCATGAAACAAGTTAATATAAAAGGATAATATAATATTAAGAACAAAGTACTAATTGAATATATGAAATTCATCAAATATATGCATTTTAATATAAAAATGTAAATGTTTAGCAATGTACCATATTTAAGTAATTACATCTTAACACAGTAAACAGTTCCTTGGGGCACCATTTTAAGATACCAGTTAGAGGTGAATAGTCTTTCAAAATAATCCAGTCAGTTAAATGAAAACTTTAAATACAATAACATCAGTAAAAATGAGACTCAAAAATATAAAATAGGGCCAGGTAAATCTGAGTAAATTCAGTATGAAAATCTGAATAATTTCTCTGTAGAGCAATATTCAACATTTAAGATTATTGAAAGAAATATTTGAATACCATGTACGGGAGCTCCCTCTTCTGGTGCCTAGTATAGTTCCAACAACAATAGACTGTAAATTATAGCATAGGATAAGATAGGATGATAGCCCTTGTAACTAGATTTTCCCCCTTTACTGTGCAGCCTAAAGCTTTCCTGCTTACAAGACATACTTTCAGTTTAGGGCATGTCTGCTCCTCTCTCCCATAGCCCCAGCATGTTCTGCTGTACAAGTAGTCCTCGACTTACAACAGTTTTGTTTAGTGATCGTTCAAAGTTACAAAGGAACTGAAAAATGTGATTTATGATCATTTTTCAGAGTTATGACCTTTGCTATGTCCCCATGGTCACATGATCAAAATTCATATACTTATCAACTGATTCATATTGATGATGGTTGCAGTATCCCTGAGTTATGTGATCGCCCTTTGCAACCTTCTGACAAGCAATGTCAGCGGAGAAGCGATAAGTTATAAACTTATCGGCTGCAGTGATTCACTTAACAAGAAAGGTTGTAAAATGGGCAAAACTCAACTGTCTCGCTTAACAACAGAAATTTCAGGTTCAATTGTGGTCATAAGTTGAGGACTATTTATACTTGTGGAGGTGGGGGAGATTTCCTGGGAGGTATGAGTGAAGAATGCTGGGAGTACAGGCCAAGAAAATGTATTCCTAGCAGGGTCACCCAAGGCGTGAAGGCCATGCAGCTGTCCAGCTAAAGAAGCAGGCCCCTTTATTAGGCAGCAGTGATACAAGATGTTGGAGGTAGATGATCACTTTAGCAACAATGGCAAAGGAATCTATTCATATACTGTATTGCATAAGGCAATAGTAAACATGTAGTGACAACTAAGAATCTAATAGTACTAATAGTATTATGACATAGCTAGATTAAAGTCTTCAAGGATATCTAGTTTCTACTGTTGTGATCCACGTAAAGAACTTCTGAAGTTGCAAAGACAGAATTAGCGGAAACATGGAATATAAGAATGAACATGGGAAAGCTCAGCTCAAAGAAAGATGAAATGATTACAAATTGGCATCTTAGGCATCAGTGAATTGAGATGGACTTATGATCATGTTCAATTTGGAATTGATAGGAAATGGAGTGGAAACTGGAATGCCAAAGCTGTATGAGGAGGAAAATGAGGTTGATTGTATGGCTTAGGAAACCAACATGAAGTAGGTGAATGAAGTAGGTGATCAGTTTCTCCTGCTCCCATTATTTCATAGCTAATGCTGTCTTCAAACAATCAATGCCTCTAACATGGCTATAGAAATCAAATTGATATTATTGCTAAGGGGAGGCGGAAGAGCCGGTTGTAGCATCAAAAACATAGCAAGGTATTGACCGAGGAAAGCCTTTGAGGTCTTCCCCAGGTCTCGCAAGAACAGGCAAGGTATTTGAAGAATTATTTGGAGAAAAAGTGAAGGTCAGCTATGCGTGCACTATTTGGAGAATGAAGGGCACATGTAAAGTTGGGTGTTTGATTAAAGTTAAAATATGTTATTTCTGGTAACTATTAATGGATTTTTGCTGATTAGGACAAAATTATGACACTTTAAAATCTATTTATAGATAAAAGATTAGATTTAGGAAGAAAAGATTGTTGTTGTATCAGAGAAAGGGATAACTTCCTAAATGTGTATTTGTCATGATGAAGGGGGAAGTAATTTCTTTATATATTTATTACTTATTTTTAAAAAAATCCCTGGCTTTTTTTTTCTTGTCATATTATCCTAGTTTGTATTAGATTTTTTTTATCCTCATCTCTAAATTTTAATAAAAATTCTTTAACAATTGATCTCCCCCACCCTTGCTTGATGAAGAGTTCTCCTTTGAAATTCATAAGTTTGCAAACTAAATAAGTTTTCCCTCAATGTCACATGGAACAATTCATTCCGTCGATGTTATTTTTAAGTACGCTTGATAAATATTCTGAATTTCTAAGTTTTATTATTTAAATGATCTTGAAATCCTTGAGACTTATGCTAAATGTTTAGGCTACTTTTTATTTTGGGAGAATAAATTATAACCTAGTATATTGGATTTATATTTTCATTTTAAGAACCAAAGATTTTTGGGACTAATAATGAGAAACTGTTTTGCCCTTTGATCTTGTAGCAGACAAAACAGTAAACTGAGGCCAGATTAGTATGGCTGGTTGCAGGGGTTAAACTAGCTGATGTTCCCTGGTTGTCGTTGTTTTTCTGTTCTGAAGATAAAAAAAAAAAAGTTAGGTAGTGATAAACCTCAGATTGAGTCTTCCTAATCTATATTTCAAGTAAGTAAACTTTTACAAACTGTAATTAAGATACTCTGCCAATCAGTCCCAAAGATTAAATGACATTAGGTCTAACAACAAACTGGCTGAACACATTGTACAAATACATTTATCACTCCCTAAAAGGGTGGGTCACAACATTTTCTATAGTCAATTTTTTGTCTCTAGTTCTTAAATGTTGTTTTATATCCCATTAAAACTGAAATTGGAATGGGAGTGATAGAAGCAGAGATGAAATTGAAGAACAAGATTAGGGAAGTAACAACAACCGGAAGGGTGAAATATTGCCATATCCTAAGAACAGTAACTTTGTAAGTATTGAATTTTAAATGTCAGTTGGAGAAAATATCCTTGAGAGCATCCTATATGTGGGAGGTCATGGCCAACTGTCTAGCTGGGAGCTTATTTGAGAGATTCTATTAGGAGATGAGGACTGCCAGTTTTCATTCAGAGACTGCAGTATTGCTGTTTCTAATAATTCCCTACCTGTTGTTTTTGCAGCTCATCTAGTCACTTAAAATTTGTATTCCTTACCTCATCGTCTTTTCACATTTTTGTTTAAGACAAAATTATATACCGAGAATTTACCTTCCAGCCTAAGTATGGATGAGAGTCCGATTCTATTCTATTCTTCTCTTTTTAAAAAAATATTTCTAATATTTTAAATAATGGCTTCAGCGAATAAAACTACTTGCATCTTTGATCTTTTCTTGCAGGTAATGAAGAGTTTCAATCTGACTTGGAGTGTGAAGATGATTGGGATGACTAAAATAGTGCTACCTGCCAGAAGAAGCACTACTTGATCTTTCTATATTGCATTTATAACTTGACTTTCTAATATGCTAATAAAATGTTTTCTTATTTTTCAAGTACCATAACTGAGTTATTTAAAATACTAATTTAAAATGCCAGAGACTAGAAACAATCTTTTAATATTTTGTCACTTGTATATTTATAGTCCACCTTGATCCCAGGAATCCATTTTGAGCTGGATCTTGTGTAAAATGGAATTGAGTTTTTTGAATTGTGTTTATTACAATATTTCAACTTGTTAAATTTTGTAATTGCTTCCATTGTTATCTTTAGATACTATCTTTTAGATTCTTACATCTTAGGATAAGCCTAACCTGCTCTTCCCTAGTGCCTTGTTCCTATTTTTCATCTCTCTAGGTAAGAGGATAAGGTAGAAATTTGCAAGAGGGAAGAGGCCTCTAAGTCCATGTTCCCCTTTTACAGCAGGTGTTCAGTGATTTTTGGTGGGGATTATAAGAGACTTACCCTATTAGGGTTGGGATCTCAGGACATCTGAAAGATACTAGATTGGGAAAAAGACAAGCTTAACTTAAACTAAATGCTGAAATAATTTTGAGTTGGTTTCAGGAAAAGATCAGCGCAGCAGTAGCTTCTGGAGATGCATTATAGCAAAGTATGAAATGTAGTGCCACTAATGATAGTGTCCATGTGCCTCATTGCTCCATTGCAGCTGCCTAGGCCTATGTCAGCTTCTCCTGCAACTTCTGCTGGCCTTCCAAACTCTCTGCCCCACCCTCATGGTCCTAATATGTTGGGCATGGCTGGTTCAGTCATGCTTTAGAACATGTCACTGTGGCAAGAAGTGGAAATTATGGAAGCTTTAATATGGCGAAGAACACCATTTCATTATTTCTGCCATTGTATCTAGACTTTGAGAATTGTAGAACACATTAAGATGACTTTGTGGCTTGTCAGACTTGTTAATAAATTTATTTCAATGCTATACATATTTATATTGATAGGGAAAGAACATTCCAGTACTTCATTAGAACAGACAAAAAAATGATAAAATGTACAAGTTGTAAACGGGTAATTAGAATCTTTCAATTTGGGCAATGAGTTTGAAATGTGCTCTGCAGGAACATCCATCCGCAATTGTTTTGAGCATATTTGGAAAAATACAAATGAAAGAGGTTTGGTCAGAACATAAAACATGCAGGTGGAAGAAGACAAATTGATTTAGCTGAAAATAACTTGTCAAACCCAAATAATAAATCATGTAGTTGCCCCCCACAAAATGGCTATTTTGTAAAAGGCAAACGAGGGAAGCTCAAAAATGCATAAACAGACAAATTTATACTTTTATTCTCTTCTTTGCCTCTGAAGATACCCTCATTTTAATTCCTATGATGTTCTCTCTCATCCCCCAAGTAGCCATGGTATTTTTCAGAAAAATGGGCACATTTCAGAAAAAAGCACTGTTCCCATCATTCTTATTGTCCAAGAATGCATGCATGCCAATTCATAGATATGCAAAACAGTACGTTTGGAGCATCAGGGTTATAAGAAATTCACAGGAAGTTCTAACACACCCAGAACTTGCATTTTTAAAATCATACTCATTCTCTCTCCCTCTTACACATGCATACACACTTTGGGGCACTGGGCTGAAAACTGAGAGACTGAATTCTAGTTCCATCTAGGCACAAAGAAATCTGGCTGATTTATGGCCACTCACTCTCGGTTCTAGGAAAAAGTCAACAACAAAACGATTTTGAAAATCTTGCCAAGAAAAATGAAATGTTTATTTATTTGATTTGTCAATTGCTTACAAGATAATAGGTATAAGTATAAACATGAGTAAGAATACAGAAAATAGATACAATTAAATGGAGACATTAGGACAGGGACAGGAGGCAGATGGTGCACTTATGCACGCCCCTTACAGACCTCTTAGGAATGGAGTGAGGTCAATAGTGGATAGTTTGAGGTTAAAGGAGTAAAGGTTAGAGGATGTAACAACAGAGTCAGGTAGTGCATTCCAGGCATTGATCACTCTGTTGCTGAAGTCGTACTTTCTGCAATCAAGTTTGGAGCGGTTAACATTGAGTTTGTATCTGTTGTGTGCTCTTGTATTGTTGCGGTTGAAGCTGAAGTAGTCATTGACTGGTAGGACATTGTAGCAGATAATTTTATGTACTACACTTAAGTCCAACCATAGGCTGTGTAGTTCAAGATTGTCCAAGCCCAAAATTTCAAGTCTGGTGATATACGGTATTGGGTTGTGAGCAGAGAAGTGTAGTACTCTTCTCGAAAAATACTTCTGGACTTGCTCAATTGTATTGTTGCCAGGAATACAGATATGTGTTTGTGTGCATGTACACACATGACCATATGCAAATAGAGAAGTATGTCCTCCATCAGTTATCAACAATAGGTTAGCAGAAATCTGATCTAAATGGCTTTTTTTGTCATGAACATTAAAACACAATTTGCTGGCAGGCTTAAGAGTTGGACTGTGTTGTTTTGACTTCTCATTATCTATCTCAACATATAAAAATTTTATGAAAATCTTATTCAGTTTAAAATAATTCATAAGTATTACTATAAGAAACCCTTCAAGATAAGTATTAACCTTGGAATAGTGTTTTTAATTAACATGCATTTCCCCATTAGCTCAGTGCTCAAATGTTTTTTTAAGCACCTACTTAAGTATGGCTGTAATCCAGATTTCACCTCGTTGGATTTCCACCAAAGAACAACCTGCTCTTGTAATACTTCCTTGCTAATGATTAGGTAAAAACCCATTTTTCTAGTTTGTCTTGGACACTACCTTGTAACTATTGCAGTGAGACTTCTGTGATTCAGTGCTGTGCTCCCTACAGTAGGGAAATTTTAACACACCCCCCCCGCCCCCAGATATGTCGGTTACTCAGAAGGTAATTGATGGTTTCATGTAAGGATTCGAGTTTTATGTACCTCCTGCAGAGAAGTGTCCCCTTTAAGAATATTGCCCTTGACAGAAGTGCGGTGATGGTTTCGTTTCAGCTAGATGTTTTCTTTTAGAAGCCTGAAAAGTCTCCTTATACCGGATCAGATCATTGGTCCATTACCTCAACATTGTTCACACTGATTGGGAGACTCTCCAGAAAAAAATCAGATTTATGTTTTTCCACCCCCAGCTTGCCCAAGCATCACATCGGAATCGGGGTCTTCCAGCATGCAAAGCAGGTTCTTTATCGTCGGAGCACATGCATTTCCAGTTTGGAACATTCTGATCTAATCTTTGCAGATACATCATAAAAACCGACGCGACTCTCCGCCGGGCTGCGTTGCGTGCGCACATGCGCATCCCTATCACAAGGGGTTCGAAGCTGATACCTCCCCACGCTTGTTTAGCCCACTGTTGGGTTGTAACGTCTTATGCTTCTACATGTAGCAAAAAAGCCTACGTCGATTGCCTCGGCTGGGAGGAATGCGGAAACGCTGGAAACGGCCCTTTTAAAGCATTGAATAACACCGACACGCGTATGAAGGAGAGATTCACGTATGAATAGGCTTGTGGCTGCCCCCCCCCCGGAGGCAAAAGATAAACGAACCCGAGACGCCGGCTACTCTTCCTCCTAGCGACACCCGAGTCGTTTTGGGACGGAAAAAGCCAGCGAGGATGGGAGCAGTTCTCCCCGCCTGTTTCTCCGCCCCCCTTGCCGTTTCTCGCCAACCCGCTTGCACCAGCGGTTGGAGTGCGCACGCCCCCCTTGTCCGCGGCGAGGAGCGGGAGACCCTCTTGTGGGGCTTTGCGCCCTCAGCAGGAGGCTCCTGCGGCCGCCGCCGATGAGCCTTCCCCGCCAGAGGTCGGCGTTAGCGACCGGGCTGCCTTTTTAGCCGCAGACTTTCTATGGGCTCGGGCTGAGCGTGCCTGCGGCGGTCACCTTTTGCTCTGCCGTCTTTCCTCCGGTGGGGCAACCGAGGCTGCCGGCGCAGCGCCGAGGAGCGGGTGGCTACAGCTCAGCCGCGGCACGGATGTCGGTCTCCAGGTGCTGCAGAGGCGGAGGAGACGGCGGTAAACCTGAGCGCCTTTTGCAAGGCCGAGCTTGGAAAGGTAAGGCGGCGGGACGCGGGAATCCGCCGGTGACCTGGCTACGAACGTGTAAAGTACAAGCGCCCCGGAGGGGGCAAGGCAAGCCTCACGTACACGCAAGCCGCCACCGCGGGGCAAGAGTGGCGGATTCCCGCCTCCTTCAGGCTGCGGCGGAGAGTGCCGCTGGTCGTTGCTATTTTTGACTCGCTTTCTTGCTCTCTCTCCGGCTAAAAAGGGTGATTTACAACCTGCGCTCACTGCTGCTTCTTGCTCGGCCTCGCCCAGAGGAAGGCAGGAGAAGGGTGGGGGCTATTTCCCTGTTGTTTTGCTGGTTTTGGCTTTCCCGCTGCCGGACTCCGCGCAGTAACCGCGTTGGCGTTGCTCCCTTCGATGTGGTCAGCTTCGGCTCTTAACTCCTCCTGGGGTGACCGCCGCTCTCCTTAACTCTTCGCCTTTGTAGCTAACAAATCGGCTGCTACCGCCAAAAACTCTTCGTTCTGGAGCTCCAAGGCTTTATTTAGGCTTTGAGAAGCTTCCGGCCCTCTTTCCCTTTACCCCCTTCCTGCTGCTTTTTATTTACGTTAGTCTCTTCTTCTATTGTATTTACTACATATACCTCTCCAAGAAACCGCTTGGTGGCTTCTTAAGAATCGCCCCTGACCTCTCAAATACACTGTTATTCAAGAAGTGGTTAATTTTGTAATGAACACAGGTAAATCTGACAGGGAGATGTATTGAGACTACTGTTTTTCCTCTTCCCAGCTTTGTAAGGGCACGTTGTAGATATTGATTGATAACAGAGTGTGCCACTCTGCATATGTTTATGACCCCTTTTATCTTCGTGTCTCCATGCACAGAGTACTTTCAAAGTAGATTCGTGGGGGGAATGCAGGATGAAAGATTCGGGTATTTGCATCTTTCGCATAGCTTTCACAGAGATGGGTTGGAAAGAGATTGTCAGAGAAGAAAGGGTTAACTCCTGCTCTTTTAGATTACAGGAACTGAATTCGTGCTTATGGGAGCTTTTAACATTAAGGACTTGCCTCATTCCTCTAATACTGTTTGGAGACATGAGGGCTCCCACATTAGGAGAGAATGGGAGAGTTTCTGTATTCACAAAGAAGTGAGACCAATTGCGATTAAAGAGCAGTGTTTTTCAAGCTTGGCAATTGGAAGATGGGTGGAGAATTGTGGCTGGGGGATTCTGGGAGATGAAGTCCACCTTCAAGTTGCCAAGCTTGAGAAACACTGCTATAGAGAGTGATAGTGGCCTGTTCCATCCAGGAAATAAATAGCACTGAAGATTGTGAAATTTTGCCTCTGGGGGAAAAAACTGTTTTGTTTTCCAGGTTGATCTTTTTACCAATCCAACAGTACAATTTGTCAAACTAACCAGATTTTTTTTTTTGTACTAGTTGCTATGAGACTCCATGCATGTTGTATTTCCTTGGCAGTAATGGGTTATTACTCTGAATTGCGTGTTACAACCGCATTGTTCACTGATAGGTCAACTGTCGGGGTTAATTTATGCTCTTTTTATACATAAAATATTATAAAGAAAATAGAAGAAGGTACCAGACAAAGATACTATTACAGTATAATCGGTATACTCCTTTTATCACTTGTACCAGTATTAATATGCCTCTGCTTGGCATGACAATCCTTTCATACAAACAACTCTCTAATCTCCATGTCAGTTATTTTGGTTTAAGCTAGAAAGCAATTATTAGTTGCGGTTTATAGGAGTATACTGAGTGTATAGGAGTATTCATGTTCATATAAATACAGTTGTCATATTTTGTAAGTTATGCACTACATACTCATAGATATCTTATTCCAACTCAAGGACACAGGTTGAAAATAAAAGAGTCAGGCTAACATAGTTGAAATATGGCACTTGCCTCTGTGAATTACAGCAGTAGCTGCTAATTTAGCTTCAAAGATAACATTGCACAAAGTTGAGGAGGATAAGCTACTAATAATTATTAGATGATTCTGTATAAGAATAATATTGGAGCTGGTGTATCTCTTAATATTAGTTACTGGTGAGATTGAGTAAGAAGATGGTATATTCACATATCCTGGTTGCATGTGGAGGCACGTCACTGGTACTTATAAATTTCTTTATAAATTGTGTGATGGGATTAAATACTGCAATCATTGTAAATGTATATAATCAATTGATTTTTCTATGAAGTGGGCTAATCAAGGGCCCCTCAATACAATAAATGAATTTTAAATTAAAGTATATGAAATTATTTGAAATGAGACTTAAGGGAATTCTGGAAATAATGTTTAGAAATTTATATAGGAATAATAGTGATGTGTTGAAAAATGGAATTTAAATGAATTGTCTGAGAAGACAGAATGAAAAAACAGAGCCAGATTTTTGCTCTTTAGTAATCATTTAAAAACTTGTGTGTGTATATGTGTATATGAACACTATACAGAAGCCTGATGATGGCAGATGAGATTCTGCTGAAACGTTGCTACAACTTTAAAAGCACAACTACAATGACATGGGAAAATACCCGAACAAAGTTGAATGCCATACATATATGTATATGTATATATATATTTATAAACAAAACATGTCTTGATTTAAAGGTAGAAAATGATAAAGTAAATAGGTTTAATTTGTTTATTATAAATTATAAATATGCTATTAACATTAAAATGGCTTTGTACTTCTTTAATAATTTGACTCTTAAGTGGCTCACAAGTAAAACTATTGTTAAAATCCAAAAAAAATTTATCATAACGCAACCACAAACTATTAAATTGTGTCATAATATATTTCTAACAGTAGTAATTCATAGTACTAGTGTCCTTATTCATCCCAATTTTATTTAGCTTTAAATTCATCCCAATTTAACCTATTTTATTGACCCTTAGTTCCCTAATGCTATTTCAAAATCAGGAAAACAAAGTTTTCTAAATATCAGGAGCAAAGAGGTAGATATTTATATCTGGTGGTAAAATATTCTACACAAGAGACTTGCAAGTAATTCACACCTCTGACTTATCTCCTTGGTACATACTTTATGTGGATGCTCTGGATAGAATATTCAGACTGATAGACACCCAGGCCCCAATCATATAGGACTTCCAAAAGATTATACAGGTAATCCTCAATTTACAATCGTGTTAGAGACTCTTCGAAGTTACAACCGCCCTGAAAAAAGTGGCTCGTGACCAGTTTTCACCCTTATGATTGTTGCAGCATCCCCATGGTCACGTGATCAAAACTTGGACCGTTGTTATTTATGATAGTTCACAGCTGGCTTCCGACAAAAGTCAATGAGGAAGTCAGATTTGCTTAACAACTGCAATGATTCACTTAACAACTGTGGCAAAAATAATTGAAGCTCAACTTATTTAACTGCTTTGCTTAACAACTGAAATTTTGAGCTCAGTTGTCATCATAAGTTGACAACTACCTGTAACCAGCTCTCTGAACTGTACCCAGAAATATCCTGGCAGCTTGTGCAATTTCCCTAGAGCTTGTTTGTAAGTAGCTTAAATCAATCTCTCTCTGAAAAGAAGGAGATGGGATGTTTTAAATTTGACTGGCTAGCTCGCTGTCTGGTTGGCTAGATAGGCAGGCAGGCAAACAACCTATTCTGGCCAGCGCACAGCTTCTAAGATGTATTTGAAATTAAAACAATAGAAATAAATTTTTTTAAAAAATCATAATAAAAGAAAACCAGTTCATTTGAGGATTGAAACTCATTCATCCTCAGGAGGGATAGTTATAGCCAACTGGCTCCCATGGCTTGATGAAACAACTAGGTTGTCTAAAGACCAGGAAGAAGAGGATATTTGAATATGGTGTGTGTGTGTGTGTGTGTGTGTGTGTGTGTGTGTGTAACAATATGTGGGAATGACCTTGGGGGGGCAGGGAAAAGCCACAGCCAGGACAATGGGAGGATAAGAGGCACTTTAGCCTGAAGAAGGAATGTGGGTATGGCAAACAATTCTGAATGGACCCTCCCTAGTTTCTTGGACTATTAAGGCAATGGGGGACAAATGTTGTTTCAGACTTGAAAGATTTGTTCATGTAATCTTACAAATGAATAGAAATCATTCTTCTGAGTATGCTACTTGTCTGCACTACTTTTTAAATTAATTTATTACTTTCAATTGCGACTGATAAATCATGCTTATGTGCATCTGAAGATGGCAGTTTTCTATCAAGGGGATACTTAAAGAGCCTGACCTATCTTATTGGGCAGGTAGATATTGCTGGAAAAAAGAACGTCCCACAGATACCCAAGCTCTGAGCCTTAAGGGATTTTAAATACAGCAACCAGCATTTTGCATTCTACTTTGAAGCCAATTAGTAACCATTAAACTTTTTGGAATAGAGAGATCACGTGGGTATTTCAAGGTGCGCTCATAATTACTTGAACTCTTGCAGTCTGGATCAGCTGTAGTTCTAAATACTCTTCAAGGAAATGCCCAAGTAGAATTCACAGTCGTTGAATTACCAGTTGAAATTTCCTGCTTCAGAAGAAGAAATTGTACACTAGCCAACGTTAAATAAAGACCCTCATAGCCTCAGAATCTACCTGTTATTTAAGGACAAGTGTGGTCTCTAGGAGAATTCTTAACTTTACACATATAAAATTGAAGGTTGGATATTGATTGTAATAAGAGTAGTGTGAAAACAAATGGAATGCTTAAAGAATGGGTGAACATTAATGATGAAATAGGTAAAGGTTGTGTGAGGTCACTTGGCTGTTTGTTTATAGATAAATGTATAAGAAATATGTATGATAATATTAAAAGAGGATGTAAAGATATGTATTCTTCTATGCAGATGAGAGGCTGTGTTATTGACAAAGAACGCAAATGAGTCATAGAGAATGTTAGTCTATGTGATGCAAGAAGGAATGTGATTCTGAAAATGAATGTATCAAAGGCCAAAATAGGTGAGCTGGCTGTGGAAAATGGAGTGGAGTAAATCATTGTTTATAAATTGTGAAATAAGCAGAATTCAAGTAGGTGCATTTATATCC